GGTTTGATCAACGCCCACCGTGATTTTGTTTTCAAGGCGGTACAGCTGGACCAATCTGTTAGTAAGGGGGCAGTCTATCTTTGCCCCCTTGCTGGCTATGGCATGCAGGATCTCTCCCGTTCGACCAGGACATGGGTCCCTCTTCGCCGTGAAATGTCCCAAAACACTCATGTAAGACCCGATCCAGACCCTGCCACACATCTTGCATTTGTGCCAGTAGTAACCGTAGCCTCTAGTATCTGCCTCCTGTCCGCGCAGCACCCACTTGTATGCATTTTTCGTTCTTTCTAACTCCATTCTTCTTGGACTCAGATGCAGGCTCAAACGGAGGCTTGTCGACGACCTTTCGTTTGCCCTTGCTGGAGCCTTTGCCCTTGCCGCCCTCGCCTCCATCGCTGCCAGGTGCACCAATGCTGCCAGGCGGACGACTTGAGGAAGCCATGTCGTGCAAAGAGGAGGACCTGGTGTGAAGAAGAAGAAGAAGAAGAAGAAGAAGAAGAAGAAGAAGAAGAAGAAGAAGAAGAAGAAGAAGAAGAGGAAGAAGAAGAAGAGGAGGACGAGGAGGAGGAGGAGGCGGAGGAGGCACAGGATGGCGAGGAGGAAGCGCACGAAAGATGAAGGAGAAACAAAAAATTCTAGTGGTGGTGGACAAGGAACAAAGGAGGAGGAGGAGGAGGAGGAGGAGGTGGAGGATGGCGAGAAGGAAGAGGACGTGAAAGGAGGAGAAGAAGAAGAAGAAGGAGAAAACGAAGAAGACGAGGAAAAAGAAAAAGAAAAAGAAGAAGTAGACGAGGAGGAGGAGGAGGAGGAGGAGGAGAAGGGGGGGGGAGGGGGAGGATGACGGGGTGCAGGATGGCGAGGAGGAAGTGGAAGAAGACAGTGGAGAACCAAAAAAAAAAAAAGCCGCTGGCGATGGATGGATGGATGGGTGTGTGTGTGTGTGTGTGTGTGTGTGTGCGCGTGTGTTTTGCCGCGTTGCGGCCTTGTCTGTGTGTCGCGATGGGGCGACCTTTTGCTTCATCAGAGAGGGGGGTGGGGGGGAGGAAAGCCCCAAGAAGAAGAAGAAGAAGAAGAAGAAGAAGAGGAGGAGGAGGAGGAGGAGGAGGAGATTGTGTGTGTGTGTGTATGTGTGTATGTGTGTGTGTGTGTATGTGTGTATGTGTGTGTGTGTGTGTGTGTGTGTGTGTTTTGCCGCGTCGCGGCCTTGTCTGTGTGTCGCGATGAGGCGACCTTTTGCTTCGTCGGAGAGGGGGGGGGGAGGAAAGCGCCGAGAAGAAGAAGAAGAAGAAGAAGAGGAGAATATTGTCTGTGTGTGTGTGTGTGTGTGTGTATGTGTGTGTGTGTGTTTTGCCATGTCGCGGCCTTGTCTATGTGTCGCCTTTTGCTTCGTCGGAGCGGGGGGGGGGGAGGAAAGCCCCAAGAAGAAGAAGAACAAGAACAAGAAGAAGAAGAGGAGGAGGAGGAGGAGGAGGAGATTGTGTGTGTGTGAGTGTGTATGTGTGTGTGTGTGTGCTTTGCCGCGTCGCAGCCTTGTCTGTGTGTCGCGATGTGGCAACCTTTTACTTCGACCTTTTACTTGTGTGTGTGTGTGTGTGTGTGTGTATGTGTGTGTGTGTGTGTGTGTTTTGCCGCATCGAAGAAGAAGAAAAGAAGAAGAAGAAGAAGAAGAAGAAGAAGAAGAAGAAGAAGGAAGAAGAAGAAGAAGAAGAAGAAGAAGGAGGAAGAGGCGGTGGAGACTCTTCCAACAGGGCGATGCCCACCAGCTTCCCTGGCGATGGCGAGGGGCAGCAGGCACGGGCAGCAGTCGATGGGCAGCACGTGACGGGCAGCAGCGGACGGGCACCTTCGGCAGTGTCGACGGGCAGCAGCGGACGAGCCAAAAATCGCCGCGTGATTTCGAGTTCCGATTCAAAACGAAATCCACGCGGCGCCCCTTGGGAAAAAAGCAGGGCGATTTCAAGCCCTCGATCTTGCAGATCAAGGGTTTGAAATCACCCTTCTTTTTTTTGTCTTGGGACCGGTAGGGCCTCGGCGCGATTTTTTTCCCGCGCTTAGGAGGGTCCTCCCACCCCCCACTGTGCCCCAGGCCCCCCCCAGCACCTTTTTTCGATTTTTTTTTTTTATGCCGCGGAGAGCGCCCGGGGCCCCGCCCGGGACTCATGCCCGGCCAGGCACCCGGGCGTCATTCCGGGCGTGGTCTGGGACCCCGGGCGCCCGGGAAATCAGCCCAGATAATAATAATAATAATAATAATCAGCCCAGATAATAATGATAATAATAATAATAATAATAATAATAATAATAATAATAATAATAATAATAAAAATAAGACAATAATAATAATAACAGTAAAATTAAGTAACTACCGGAAAGGATGAAATAACGGTAATTTGGTCTGGCACCAGGTATCCATGAAACTTCATAGGTATGAACCTGACCAGGAATATGGTCAGATTCAGCTTTCTTTTGATCGTGGTTGTGGCACACCGCCCTTACCAGGGTATCTCCCCGTTCGTTGCACCCCACTAAGTTGTTTGCACATACACACAACACACTCTCATTCAACTAGGATCTACCCTAGATGTCCCACGTACGCATATACACGCACTCATCCTTGCAGGCACACTCGGTGTTCCGCATTTCCTCGCCATAGCCACTGGCGCCCCGCTGTCTGCGCCCATGCCCATGCTTTACTCTACTATCCTACCTACAGTTGCATTCACGCAATAGGCTCACTTCTATCCCGAAGACCAATGTGCATGACGTTATCACCATAGTCGACCATTCACTCACATAGGTACGTATCTCTCTCCCCTTTTTCTCATTCTCTCTTTCTCTGTCCCTCTCTTCCTCTCTCTGTGTATACGTCTCCCTTTGTGCATCACAGTGTATGTGTCCCTGTGTGACTGTGTAGGTGTCACTATGACTGTGTCACCGTACACCTGCGTGACACTGTACACTGTGCATCTGTCACTGTTTTCACTATGTCTGTGTCATTGCGTGTCAGTGCCACTTGTGTATCTGTTGTCACTGTGTATCTGTATATTGCCGTATATCTGTGTATGTGTGTCACTGTACATCCGTGTGACTGTGTATCTGTGCGACTTTGTTTTTTTCCGTCACCATCTGTGTCACTGTGTGATTTGTCACTGGGGGACTGCCACCGTGTGACTGTGTGTGCATCTGTGTCACAGCCCGTGTCATTGTATATGTGACAGTGTCCGTGTCACCGCGTATGTCAAAGTGTGACTGTGTGGGTATGTGTCACTGTATGTTTGTACCACTGGGTATCTGAATGTCACCGTTTTTGTGTGCCTGTTCTAGTGTGTACGCGTCTGTCACATAGTGTCTGCATGCGTTTCACTGTGCACGTGCTTGTCCCACTGTGTATGCGTGTCTATCACAGCGTGTATGAGTGTCTGTCACAGTGTGACAGTGTGTTTTCACTGCGTGTGTGTCACTATGCATTTGTGTGACATGGTGTGTCTGAGTGTCCCCGTGCACTGTTGTTTGCGTATCCGTGTGTCACCATCACGGTGCACTGTGTCATGGTGTGTGTTTTTCACTATGGGTGTGTCTGTCACAGCGTGAGTGTGTGTGTTGTCCGTGTATCTGAGTATCAATGTGTGTCTGTGTCAGTGTCGCAGTGTCTTTGCGCCTGTGCATTGTGTTTCACTGTGTGTTTCGCTGTGCACTGCGCGTCACCGAGCACTATCTGTCTGTCTGTGTACACGCAGCTGTCTGTGTATGTGTGTTTCACTATGTGTTTCACTGCCACAGTATCACTGTCTGTTTCCACGGTGTGTCGCTGTATGTGTGTGTTTCCCTATGACGGTGTGTGTCACGACACCTGTCACCGTGACAGTGTGTGTCTCTCACTGTCTGTTTGTTTTCCTGGTGTATCTGTTTCCCGGTATGTATGTTTTCCCAGTATGTCTGTTTGACAGTGTGTGTGTCTCACTGTCTGTTTGTTTTCCTGGTGTATCTGTTTCCCGGTATGTATGTTTTCCCGGTATGTCTGTTTGCCCGGTATGTCTGTCTGCCCGGTATGTATGTTTTCCCGGTATGTCTGTTTTTCTGCCGTTTGCTGTCTGTTTGTCTGTTTGTCTGTTCGTCAGTCGTAGGTCTGTGTAGGTGTAGGGGTTTGAACTGTGGATTTGTCAAGTAGGGGTTACAATTGTGCAGAGGGCGAAACCGCTAGGATAGAGGTCTGTAGGCGAGTCGACAGTGCAACCTCTTTCAGTCAGTGGCACTGGTCTCAGTCTCATTGGGTCCAGTCGAGCAAGTACCGTGTGGGACTGTGTACACCGAGGCCTGGTGGAAAGGGTCAGACTGACGAGCTACAGAAGTATGAATCAAGAGGCAGCGCCAGCCATTGATTCATTCGTTGCGTAAGCCATGTGGCAGCGCTGCTACAGCGTCTTGTGCGAAGCGGTCTGCAGGTTGCCCGAAGTTGAAGTGCCCGTGACAGAGATATAGTGTAGCGTATGTGTGTGGGTGTGTGTGCGAATCAGAGAGTTGTTGATCGTTGCGTCATCATAGCCAATGAAGTGAACTTGTATCTAAATTGTGTTCTCGGCTACCGTATCTCTAAATTTGAGTGGGTGACTGTCGCCGGTTCGCTGCGCACAAGTTTGTATGCATGAGAAGTGTGAATGAAAGCAAGTCTGATTTTCACTAATAATAATAATAATAATAATAATAATAATAATAATGATAATAATAATCAAGGAAGATGAGCAATAGCGAATTCCAACAATCAAACAGCATCATATACACAAGGCCAGATAGTCGTGACCTCAAACCAACAACAGAATTGCATCACGAGTTTCACCAAATAAGAGCACATCAAAAGCTCAAATTTGAAAATGCAAAAATAGTCCCTT